CTGCAACACCATGGATGGGGCTGGAGGCCATTACCCTAAACGAACTAACACAGATATAGAAAACCAGATACTACATGTTCTCATTTATAAGTGCAAGCTAAACATCAGGTTGCATATAGAAATAAAGATGTGAACAACAGACCCTGAAGAATACAAGGAGAAGGACGGAGACAGAGGGACAGGGGTTGAAAAACTACCTATTGCAGCCAGGCGCGATGGCTCATGCCTGTAATCCCAATACTTTGGGAGGCCAAGGCAGGCGCATCATTTAGGCCAGAGTTTGAGATCAGCCTGGCCAACATGGCGAAACCCCATCTCTACTGAAAATACAAAAAATTAGCTGGGTGGGGTGACACACGCCTGTAATCCCAGCCACTTGGGAGGCTGAGAGGAAGCGGAGACTGCAGTGAGCCAAGATCATGCCACTGCACTCCAACCTGGGCAACAAGAGCAAAACTCCATCTCAAAAAAAAAAAGAAAAAAAAACCTACCTATTGGGTTCTATGCTCACTACCTGGGTGATGGGTTTAATCGAACTTCAAACCTTAGCATCATACGATATACCCAGGTAACAAAACCGTACGTGTACCCGTTAATCTGAAACTTGAAAAAATATACAATTCAGTGACTTTTATTATATTCAGAGTTGTGCAACCATCCCCACAATCAATTTTGGAATGTTTTCTTATGTTTTATTTATTTGAGATGGGGTCTGTGTTGAACAGACTGGTCTCAAACTTCTGGGCTCAAACAATCCTCCCACCTCAGCCTCTCAAAGTGCTGGGATTACAGGTGTGAGCCACAGTGCCCGGCCTAATTTTAGAACATTTTCATCACTCCTACAAGGGACCCTGTACCACTAAGCAGCCATACCCCTGTTTTCCCCCAAACTCCCAGCTCCACTTAACCACTCATTTTTATGGATTTGCCTATTCTGGACTTTTCATATAAATGGAATAATATGTGATGTTTTGCATCTGACTTCTATCACTTACCATGATCTCTTTAGTGTTCATCTACATTATAGCACTTTTTTTTTTTTTTGAGACTGAGTTTTACTGTCGCCCAGGCTGGAGTACAATGGCACAAACTCGGCTCACTGCAACCTCTGCCTCCCAAGTTCAAGTGATTCTCCTGCCTCAGCCTCCCTAGTAGCTGGGATTACATGCACTTGCCACCATGCCCAGCTAATTTTTATATTTTTAGTAGAGATGGAGTTTCACCACGTTGGCCAGGCTGGTCTTGAAGTCCTGACCTCAGGTGATCCACCCACCTTGGCCTCCCAAAGTGCTGGGATTGCAGGCGTAAGCCACCACACCTGGCCCTATTCCTCTTCATGGCTAATATTCCACTGTGTGGATAGACTACAATCTGTGTCACCCGTTTAGCTGCTGATAGACACTTGGGTTGTTTGTGCTTTTTGGCTATTATGACTAACGTTGCTATGAACATTAATGCAAAAGCTTTGGTGTGGATGTGTTTTCATTTCTTGGAGGTCTATATCTTAACCTTCTGAAGAAACACCAAGCTGTTTTCCACAGTGGCTGTACCATTTTACTTTCTGGTTCAGTGTATGAGGCTTCCAATTTCTCCATGTTCTCACGAACACTTATTATCTGTCTCTTTATGACCATCCCAGTGGGTGTGAACTCACTGTGGTTTTTTTGTTTTTTTTGGTTTTTTTTTTGAGATGGAGTCTCGCTCTGTGGCCCAGGCTGGAGTGCAGTGGCGCGATCCCAGCTCACTGCAAGCTCCGCCTCCTGGGTTCACGCCATTCTCCTGCCTCAGCCTCCCGAGTAGCTGGGACCACAGGCGCCCGCCACCACACCCGGCTAATTTGTTGTATTTTTAGTAGAGATGGGGTTTCACCGTTTTAGCCAGGATGGTCTCAATCTCCTGACCTCGTGATCCACCGATCTCGGCCTCCCAAAGTGCTGGGATTATAGGAGTGAGCCACTGCACCCGGCGGACATCAATGTAATCTTAAACACCTTCGTTGATCTGTAGAATCACAATTAGACTGTATGGAAATTAGATATATGTGACAGGAAGTTTGCATAATTAAGGCTAAGCCAAGACATCCTTAAGCCAAGATATCCTGAGGCCACGTTCTGACCCAGAAAGAGAAATATTGCGTGGCAGACTTCAGAGAGCCAGATAAAAGGAGAAAGGAAAGAGCATGGACTTTTTTTTTTTTTTTTTTTTTTGAGACAGGGTCTTACTCTGTCACCCAGGCTGGGATGCAGTGGTGCAGTCATAGCTCACTGCAGCCTTGACCACCTGGGCTCAAGCAAGCCTCCTGTCTCAGCCTCCTGAGTAGCTGGGGCTACAGGCATGCACCACCATGCCTGGCTACATTTTTTTTTTTGTATTTTTGGTAGAGATGGGGCCTTGCTATGTTGCCCAGGCTGGCCTCAAACTCCTGGCTTCAAGCGACTCTCCTGCTTCAGCCTCACAAAGTGCTGGGATTACGAGTGTGAGGCACCGTGCCTGGCCAACTCTGCTTCCATACTGAATTTTTGTTCAGGGAGACAAAGACAATTCCAGAAGGGGCTACGGAGGATAAAGTGGCTGGGACCTGAGAGATGGCACTGAGAGGAAGAATCTGGAGTCTGCAGCCAGGCTGAGAGAGAATTTGCAGCTGTCAAGACAGGAGCCAAAGCTCACCCCACAGGGCCTGGCTCAGAAGTCAGAGAGTTCAGGCCAGGCATGGCGGCTCATGCCTGTAATCCCTGCACTTTGGGAGGCCAATGCAAGAGAATTGCTTGAAGCCAAGAGTTCAAGACCAGCCTGGGCAACAGAACGAGACCCTGACTCAAAAAAAAAAAAGGAAAGAAGAGGGTATTGAGAGAAGCCTTGAGATGGTCTTGTACCCTCAAAGACTTTTCATTGACTTGAAAGATGCCATTTGAAACAGGAAAAGTTGCCTTGAGTACACAAGTTGTCTGTATGGTTGTGGTTTCCTGTGAATGGGGGCCCCATAGCAAAGTAAGGTCAGTTACAGAATGTAAAAGGGATTATCTGTGTTGAGCACCATCTCCTAGGGTTTCAAGGCCCAGCCTACAGTCCTAGGATTGCAGACCAGAGCCCAACAGGATGAGCTTAGAGAAGAAGGGACAATTTCCTGGCCAAGGACCTCCTGGGACAAAAGTCCAGACAGCTGGTTTTATGAAAGGTGGAAGCATAGCGCCACCCACTGGCAGTTGGTGTGAGTGCTCCCAGCTTCTAGAATTGCACCCACAGGTGCAGTTCTGATTTCTAGAAGCAGAGCTCCCAGTGCCAACCGCAAGGGGTGGTCAGCCCAAAACTACGGGCTCATGAAGAACAGAGCAGAGCCTTAGAGGTTCGATGGAGCACATTGGAACTGACCACTTTATGTTTTGATTTGGGGCTGCCTGCTCTCTAGCTCCACTACCCAATTCCTGGGGGACAGGACAGAGCCAAAAGGCCTGGGTTTGAATCCTGGCCCCACCACTTATAGGTGTGGTGGTTTAAAAATATGTCCATACACTTTTAAAAGCTTAAGTCTCAGCCTAGGCAACACAACAAGACCCAGTCTCTACAAAAAGTAAATAAATGAGCTGGGTGCCTTATCTTGCCATTATCACCCAGGCTGGTCTTGAACTCCTGGGCTCAAGTGATCCTCCTGCCTCAGCCTCCCAAAGTGCTGGGACTACAAGTATGAGTCACTAGGCCTGGCGTGCTCATAGCTCTTGATGTTAGTTAACGTCCTTGTAAGTTGTTCTGCAGATCCAAGTAAAGCCCTTGGTTCCTGGTGCATGGCACACATGAAACTGTCCCCATAAACTTTGTGAAATTAATCAGGAAAGGAGGGAGGGAAACAAATGAAAATAAAGCAAGCTTGCAGCACATTCGGCATTCATCACTAAGTCACCTTGCTTGCTCTCCAACCTGCTTCCTCACAGCTGTTTGATGTGTATTGTCCCAGAATCACATAGACCCTGTTACAAAAATACAGTTCTTTTTTTTCCCCCACCAAGATGGAGTCTCACTCTGTTGCCCAGGCTGGAGTGCAGTGGCATCATCTCAGCTCACTGCAAGCTTTGATTCCCGGGTTCATGCCACTCCTGCCTCAGCCTCCCGAGTAGCTGGGACTACAGGCGCCTGCCACCATACCCAGCTAACTTTTTGTATTTTTAGTAGAGATGGGGTTTCAGTGTGTTAGCCAGGATGGTCTCGATTTCCTGACCTCGTGATCTGACCTCAGCCTCCCAAAGTGCTGGGATTACAGGCTTGAGCCACCACACCCGGCCAAGAATATAGTTCCCCTTAACTGCTCTGTAGGTGACAACTTGAACGTCATGGAACATTGTTTTCCCTTTGAGATATTCTTTCAGGTCCCATATTCTGATGAAACTGCTGACATCAGCTGGTCTGAAGGGCCCCACAGGAGCTGACTCACCAAAGAATGCAGTTTCCACGTCCTGATGATTTCATCCCCCTTTCCTCGACCAATCAATGACCCCAACTTTCTAGTCCCTCACCCTCCCCAATCCCCTTAAAAACCCCATTCCAGAACTCCTTGGGGAGATGTATTTGAGGGCCTCTTCCTATCTCCTTGCTTGGTATCCGGTGATCATGAAGCTTTCTCTGATGCAAACCCTGCTGTCTCAGTGTCACTGGCCTGTTCCCATGCCACGGGCATACGAACCTGTTGGTCCCATAACAAATATGTTCAATAGCCGTTAACTATTATTCTTGCTGCTGTTGCACAAAACCCACCTTTGCCAGCACTATCAGAGTCTGAATCATCATCGTCATCTTTTAAGAGTACCTCCAGGGTGCTGGTGTTGTTATCATACACCACGCAGTACTTGACACACTCCAGGTCCACAGACTTCGGGAGAAGATACTCGTTATTTTTCTTAAAGAAAAAAAACACACACACACAAGACAGGCCTGTTGATGGGCAGGTTCAGTTGAGCAGAGACTCCCTGCATAGCAGCACTAGGAGGAGCTAAGACTGCACTCTCTCCCCTAACTACACACACAGGCCTAGAAGTACTGAGACAGCGGGTGGACAGTCTGTTAAATCCAAGGATCCTCCGTGACTACCTTCGCTTCTGAGAAAAGCTGACCACAGCTGATTGGACCAGAGAGAAGTGCCTGACCAAAGAACTGCTGGTCTGACTGATCCACAGCCTATTAGGTACCCTGGTGTCAGAGAAACCATGGTCAATTGAATTAGTGACATCCTTTCTCATGGAGAGAGTGTTTGGCAGTGGAGATTGAATTCGAAAACACCAGACTGGATGCAGTGTGGTTTGTACCTGTAATCCCAGCACTTCAGGAGGCCAAGGCAGGAGGACTGCTTGAGGCCAGGAGTTTGAGACCAGCCTGGACAACATAGCAAGACCCCCATCTCTATGAAAAAAAAAATACAAAAATGCCAGGCATAGTGGCATGCGCCTGTAGTCCCAACTACTCAGGAGGCTGAAGTGGAAGGATCACTTGAGCCCACGAGGTGGAGGCTAAGGTGAGCTGTGATTGTGTCACTGCACTCCAGCCTGGGTGACAGAGCAAGACCCGGTCCCAAAACAACAAAACAAAAAACACCCCAAAAAAGCACAGTAAGTAGACAGTGTATAGAAGCAGAAGTCATGAGTAAGCAGAAGGAATGAGATGGACTGGAAGCTCAAATGTGGCTGGCCATGGTGGCTCATGCCTATAATCCCAGCTACCTGGGAGGCTGAGGTGGGAGGATCGCTTGAGCCCTGGAGTTCAAAGCTACAGTGAGCTATGATTGCACTACTGCAACCCAGCCTGGGTAACAAAGTGAGACTATGTCCCAAAAAAAAAAAACAAAACACAAAAAACACAAAAAACACAAAAAACAAAACTCATGGATTATAAGATGTACTACCAATTTAATCAGGAGTGTGCACAAAAGAAGGACTTGTTGGCAGATAACACTCCAGGCAAGGCAAAGATGCAGCCGGTTTCCAAACCTAAAGCAGCTGGCTTTAGGACCCAGAGATCCTAAAGCCCAGACCGCCTTCAGGCTCTCCTCCTCTCCACTTTCCCCTCCACACTGACTTCCCCTTCTCAGACAGCCTCCTCCAGAGGCTTGAGCCACGAACCCCAGCAATGCTCAGGCTCCCATCTTCCCAATTCCACCGCCATGCTGGACAGAGACACCCTTCCCTAATTCCAATGAAAGCTGATTGGCTCAGCTTTCATCCCAGACCCATGATCAATCACTGGGGCGAGGGTTCTGGATATTATGTTATTTTAGAGACAGGGTCTCACTCTCTTGCCCAGGCTGGACTGCAGTGGTGCAGTCATAGCTCACTGCAGCCTTGAATTTCTGGGCTCAAGTGATCTTCGCACTTCAGCCTCCTGAGTAGCTGGGACCACGGGCATGCACCACCACACCTGGCTAATTTATATATTTATATCTATATATATAGATATATTTGTAGAGACAAAAAAAGCCAGGTGTGGTGGGGTGCACATGTAGTCCCAGCTAACTCGGGAGGCTGAGGTGAGAGGATCGCTTGAGTCTGGGAGGTGGAGGCTGCAGTGAGCTATGATTGCATCACTGCACTCCAGCCTAGGTGACAGCGCAAGACTTGTCTCAAAACAAAAACAACAAGGCCGGGTGTGGTGACTCACACCTGTAATCCCAGCACTTTGGGAGGCCAAGGCGGGCAGATCACCTGAGGTCAGGAGTTCGAGATCAGCCTGGCCAACATGGTGAAACCCCATCTCTACTAAAAATACAAAAATTAGCTGGGCGTGGTGGCATGCACCTGTAGTACCAGCTACTACAGAGGCTGAGACAGGAGAATGGCTTGAACCCAGGAGGCAGAGGTTGCAGTGAGCCGAGATCGCACCACTTCACTCGAGCCTGGGCAACAGAGTGACACTCTGTCTCAAAACAACAAGAACGACAACACTCAAAAAGAAGGTAGTAAACAGATGCCTTCTGGGGTCCCACTATGTAGTCCAGGCTGGTCTCAAACGAGCTCAATCTCCCCACCTTGGCCTCCCAAAGTGCTGGGATTGCAGACTAAAGCCACCATGCCTGGCCAGAATATTATTTTAGAGAACACCACTAGAAACCCATGGTTTGAGCAGAAAGAGAAGTTCCCCTCAAAAAGGCAGAAAAACAGCAGATATTCACCACATGCACTTTCAGGGAAAAAGACACTACCATATTAAAAGTATGAATCAGGCCAGGCCTGGTGGCTCATGCCTGTCATCCCAGCACTTTGGGAGGCTGAGGAGGGAGGACTGCTTGAGCCCAGGCGTTCAAGACCAGCCTGGGCAACATAGTGAGACTCCATCTCTACAAAAAATACAAGTTAACTGGGTGTGGGGGTGCATGCCTATGGTCCCAGCTACTGGGAAGGGTGAGGTGGGAGGACTCCTTTATCCTGGGAGGTCAAGGCTGCAGTGAGCCATGATGGTGCCATTGCACTCCAGCCTGGGCGACAGAGTGAGACCCTGCCTTAAAAATAATAATAATAATAAATACAAATTGGCCAGGCAGGGTGGCTCATGCCTGTAATCTCAGCACCTTGGGAGGCCAAGGCAGGCAGATCACAAGGTCAGGAGTTCAAGACCAGCCTGACCAATATGGTGAAACTCCGTCTCTACTAAAAATGCAAAAATTAGCCAGGTGTGGTGGTGCGCGCCTGTAGTCCCAGCTACTCGGGAGGCTGAGGCAGAAGAATTGCTTGAACCAGGGAAGCGGAGGTTGCAGTGAGCCAAGATCGTACCACTGCATTCCAGCCTGGGCGACAGAGTGAGACTCCATCTCAAAAAAAAAAAAAAAAAAAAAATCAACGGTAGGACATATTCCGTTTTCAAAAAAGAGTTACATTATGGGATACAGGTGCATCATAGAAGGAAACATGGCAGCACAGTGCTGCTAAGGTGTCAGGGAGAGTGGAAGCGTACTAGGAATGAGGCTGAGAAGAGAGGTGGTCAGATCCAAGAAGGCTGAGAACACAGGGCTAGGAGCCTTTCTGTCCTGCTGGGCTGGGAATGCCCTGAAGGCCTCAGTCTGCTAACTGGGAAGCTAGGGAGGGAAGGCAAGAGCCAATATCACACCACTGCACTCCAGCCTGGGCAACAAGAGCGAGACTTCGTCTCAAAAAAAAAATAAAAAAAGAAAAAAGAAAAAAAAAGAAAAGCTGTTAGCCTGAATTGGAGGAGCTGAGAGGCAGAGGCAGAGAGAACGTCTCTTTCCCAAAGCAGGAGGTGCAGCCAGAATCAAAGAAATGCACAGACTTGAGAGCTGAGTGGGAACGGAGGCTCATACATCATGAGGGGGCTCTGAATAGGTGCAGAAAAAGGCCTGCAATGGGGATTAAGAGTGAGATTATGGGCTGGGCATGGTGGCTCATGCCTATAATCCCAGCACTTTAGGAGGCCGAGGCAGGCAGATCACTTGAGGTCAGGAGTTCGAGACCAGACTGGCCAACATGGCAAAACTCCATCTCTACTAAAAATATAAAAATTAGCCTGGCATGGTGGTGGTGCCTATAACCCCAGCTACCAGGGAAGCTGAGGCAGGAGAATCCCTCGAACCTGGGAGATGGATGTTGCAGTGAGCTGAGACTGCACCACTGCACTCCAGCCTGGGCAGACAGAGTGAGATTCTGTCTCAAAAATAAAAACAAAAAAAGACAAATAGACAATAATGATGGATTGGGACAGGGAAATATCCTGGAAGAACACCCCCTGCCCCTGCTCCCTCCCGAGTTATCGAGTTATGTAGAGAAAAAGCAGCAGAGATTGAGTGTGGAAGAGTACAGTGGGAATAGGGAGGAAAGGGAAATTTTAGATGACAAAGTTTTATTATTTTTGAGACAAGGTCTTGCTCTGTCACCCAGGCTAGAATGCAGTGGTGCAATCGACCTCCTGGACTCAAGTGATCCTCCCACCTCGGCCTTCCGAGTAGCTGGTACTACAGATGAGCACCACCACATTGAGTTAATTTTTCAATTTTTTGTAGAGACAGGGGTCTTGCTATGTTACCCAGGCTGGTCTTGAACTCCTGGACTCAAGCAATCCTCCTGTCTCGGCCACCCAAAGTGCTAGGATTACAGGAGCAAGCCACCATGTCCAGCCCAAAATTTTAGACGTAAACTTACCAGGACTGCTAATTGCATGTGGAGGTCATTGCAGCTGTAAGCTCCAGTGAAATCTCTGGCAAGAAAGTACCCTGACAGATACGGAGATCAAGGACAGACCAGCAGTTATCTTCAGGCGGCAGGAGGAGAAAATGAAGGTGAACCAAAGAGAGAGAAAATAAACCAGGGGGCCAGGCGCAGTGGCTCATGCCTGTAATCCCAGCACTTTGGGTGGCCAAGGCGGGCAGATCACGAGGTCAGGAGTTCGAGACCAGCCTGGCCAACATGGTGAAACCCCGTCTCTACAAAAGATAGAAAAAAAAATTAGCCGGGCATGGTGGCACATGCCTGTAATCCCAGCTACAGGCTGGAGGCTGAGGCAGGAGAATTGCTTGAACCTGGGAAGCAGAGGTTGCAGTGAGCCGAGATCATGCCACTGCACTCCAGCCTGAGAGACAGGGAAAGACTCCATCTCAGAGGGGAGGGGAGGGGA